AAGACCACTGAATCAGAGCTCTGGGAATTGTAAAGGATTGCACACAAAAGCATTTTCAAAAATGTCTCCAAAGCCAGCATCGTTTCAGACTGAACAGCAGGTTCATCCTCTGATCCAAGTCTGTTACGGAGGAACAGCGCCAAACAAACGTCTATTAATATTCTGCCAGGAAGCACGAGCGGATAGGCTCTTGCATTACATTAAGTGAAGTGGTCAGGTTAAGAGCTAGGCATCGGTCATGCAGTTCCTCCATTCAAGCACAAACCTCTTCACCCATCATCATGTGTTGTCAAATGCTTTTGTGCATTGCAATATTAAATACTAGTACCCTGGGGATGGGAAATGAATAGGCATAACATGGAAATTATGATGCATGCAACAATAGCCTTTAACCTATTAACAAGTATGACCGAACTTACTTATTCTGAGCTCTCTAATCACCAGGGCAAGAAGACATCAACAGCTACTGTGTCACACTGTCAGGGCCTTCAATGGCAAGTGTGGTTCAAAGGTCCACAGGAAACACAAAGAGGCTTTGTCTTCTGATATAAAGAACAAAGCTACCATGTGGCACAGCATCACACATGCAATTAGTCAGGACAGTTAATACAGTAGAAGCAGATGGTGGAACCATGTCAACATTTTTAGTGGGCACATTTCCCCTTACTCTCGAGTTGCTGTGAACTGAGGTCATGAAGGAGCAGCAGGCAGCCTGTTGGGAAGCCGGACCACATCAGGGATCAACACTACCCATTTATCTACCTGTCTGAGGTACCTGTGTGCTCTCACCTCTCCTGGCATAGCTCCTATCTTTCAGGCACCTCCTCTCCATCACATCCCCACGCCACAGAGTAGCACCATTAACCTCAGTGCACACAGAGGGAAACTGAGGCAAAGAGAGACAATCTCTAACCCTATTTGTGCTATGAGATGCTGACAAGGAAAGGCATTAAAACCACACCTTTGGTGGCCCTTACACTGCTTATTCCTGCAGCAAATGAGTTACCAAATGCTATACGTTCATTCGTACAGTGCAGCTACAGCACACGTCACTTCAAAGTACTTTATACATTTGCAAAGAGCAACTGCTCCTCTGATGCTTTGCGCTTGCCAGCCCTAACGCTCAGCTAACACAGGACAGGAATGAAAGGCTTCTGTTCACCACCAATCGCAACGGATGCACAGAAAATATAAAACTCAAACTAGAAGGATTGCACAAAGAAATACAATACAGGAAATGCTGTGATTCGTATGACTTTGAAGTAACAGCCCTGCACAGCCTTCAGACAAAGTCGTCTCTGCGGTTATTGTCAACCAGTTCTGCTCAATTCCCCAGCTCCATACCTCATGGATTTCAATGGTACCCAGGTGAGGATGGCAGGAGCTTTCAGCTCTAAGTCATTTAATTAAAATAAAATGAACAACCAGCAGTTAGTCAAACTGCATGTATGCTCCAGCAGCTACAGCTGCCGAATTCTGCAGTCCTCAGTCCAATCTGATTTCCTTTAAAGCTCCTGGCAACCCATTAATTAAAACGCATTATTTACAGCTTCCAGGGGCTTGAAACCATGGGATGCACTTGATGGAATGTATGCAATTACATAATCAGTCCTAGCAACTGGGTCCATTCTTGCTCTTGCTCTCCTCTGCTCCCACACTCGGCCATTTCCTTCCCCACGGCTTGTCCACGCAGCACCGTTCGGCCTGAGCCTGCCACGCTGCCATGGAAATGAGCAGGGAGCAACAAAGGAACCGAGAGTCTCTGGAGATGGAGGAGTTGCAAGGCCATAGCGCAGGAAGGCCAAGACAAAAGAAACCAATTTGCCTGCTGCCTCTAAACACAAACCACCCTCCCCCTTTGTGCAAGGAGATGTTGATAAATAGAGTTTCCCCCTGATTTAAGAAAGCAGGCCCCTTTCAGCCAAATGCAAGCAGGCTAGGTGGATGGAGCATCCTGCCTTCCGTCCTGTGCAGCAGTCCATCTGTTAGTGCTTTGTGGAGAAACAACAGTAACGAGGTGATCCCACAGCAAATGCAGAGGATGTGTAGTTTAACTAACTTAATAAGCAATCCCCATGTCACTCATATGGCAGCATCAGCTGCAGACAGATCTTCTCTACTTTCAGGAGGTTTTCTTTCTTTTTTTTTACTCCATTATTAAGTAGTCACGTTCATCAGCAATTCCCTTGACTTTGTAAGAAAAAAAGCATCTTAAAACATACATTAGAAGGTATGACTGACAAGCATAACAAAGTCTACCATGCCTTTGAACTGATTTCCAAAAGTGTTTTATGAGAATAAAGGGAACAAAGTTTTATGGAACTGTGAACTTTTTACTGCTTAAGGAGTCCCACATGAACACTACTGAAAGATCAAGTACCACAAGCCCAAGACATCCACACATATAATCCTCACAATGATTACTTCTTCCCCCGCTCCCGGCACCTGCCCCCAGTGTGTTTCTCTTTTTTTTTTTTTTTTTAGCATCAAAATCAAAAAGT